TTATGACTTTTTAAGGTAAAGTTTATTTCATTACAACAGGGAATAGAAAAACTAATCAGAGTAAGCAAGAATCCATGCAGCATACTAAAGTTTGTCGCCTCATTAGCAATGAGGAATTTACTGCTATTTTAATGCAAGTCTGTTCTAGTTAACTTCCTCATTGCCTTTGATTTGTTGATCCATTTTTGCTTTTTCTCCTTCTTCCTTCTTTCTTTCCATAGTTAAATCAAATTTGTTAGGAAAAGCTACTCTGTCTTCTAGATTTTCTACCTTCTTTCTTTCCATAGTTAAATCAAATTTGCTGGGAAAATCTACTCTGCCTCCTAGATTTTATACAATTTGGATGTAGATCATAATAGAATCCCTTTTAGAACCAGAAGTGCGTTTAAGCTATCACTTATTCAAGATGATTACCCACAGAAAAGGGATGCCTAAATCATTTACAAAAGGTAGTTTATCTATATTTAATGATTTCTAGGAATAGGTGTTCAGTTTCTTCAGTGGCTTGTTTCAGTTTTTCTCAATGATATAGTAAAATTCTTACTCATGTCTCTGCTGGGATGCAGAGGTGACTGAGGGCAGGTGAGTAAGGAAGTACAGTTTTTTTCCAGAAACAAATAGGATGGGGATAGTGAAAGAAAGCAAATAGGATACAAAGAAAATTAACTAGATTTAAGGTAAAAGTTAATGTGAAATAGAAGCAGATAAAGAAATTAATGGAGGCAAGGCAGGTCTGTTAGCTTGTGTGGAAATGGAGACAGAGGATGGTCTTATATTTATTATCTGTATGTACTGTTTAATACTAAATTGTTTTCTTAAGTGTGCTAAAGGAAAAAAATCACAAGGATTAGAAAAAGATTTTTTCTTTCCACTTGATAGATCTTAGAAGCAGTGTATACTCAGCTCATGGTAGATTCTGTACAAGAAAGCATTCAACAAACCTAAAGCATTGTTAGGTCTCAAGCTGTGAAATACATTGATTGATCCATACTAACCATGAGAGTTTTCACATATTAGTGTGCCTTTTGAGGGGAGAAAAATTGAAAGAGGGGGTGAATGTTGACTATCATCACTCTGAATAAATCCCTAGACAAGTGGATTTGCTAACCTTATTGGGTGTCTTAAAAAAATCAAGCAGAATAGCTAGCCAAGCAGATTATGCAAAAATTATCCATGAGTCAGTTTAGCTTATTTCACCAGTTGGTTTAAAAAGAAGTCAATTATTGTTGCCTTTTATTCTCCTTTTGGAATATTTTCTCAATTTGGATTTTTTTTTTTTTTAAATAATAGTTGAGTTTCATATAGGGATTACTTAGGAACTAATATAAAATAGAACACTGGAATAGAAAGTAGAATATCAGTTTCTTTTGTTATTTCACAAAATTAAGTGCATTTTTACCTAGCGTATGACCTACATTACTGAAAAAAAAGAGCTTTACTCAAAGGAAATGGTAGATACTGAAAACGAAGCATTGTTCTTTAAATAAAGTTTCAAGTACCTGTTTCTTAAGTTATTTATTTAACACTGTAATTATTTTGGTTTTGTTAAATAAAATCTAAATGTAGTTTTGCCATTAAGCATTTTAGATATTTATGCCAGAATTCAATGTATTTGGAGTAAGATGTTAATAATACACAATTAACTTCATTTCTTTCTTGAACCATTTTTTTTTTTTCCAAATTTAAAACCTTTTTGTAATGGAAAATTTCAAGGAAAAAACCTAAGTAAGGAGAATAGTTATCACCCTGCTTCGATAATTATCAACTCATGGCCAGTCTTTTTTTAATCTCACAAGTTGGCTGTTTGACTGATGTCACTTCAGAATGCTCTGTGATTAACATATTTTAAAATAAAAAAATGTTATAAATTGATTGGCTAGATAAAACCTTTTTCCCCCCAAAACAATGACTTTGTGTTGTATTCTAACTTTATTTAGGAAAGACCCTTTGGCCATGTCCCAGGTATATAGCATTTTTGAGGTAGACCATACGAAAATATAATCATATTTTCTTCTCTTTGTCATTTCTTGAAGGCAGAGATTGTTGTATAGACTTAACAAACTTAAATATGATTTTTAAAAAAATACAACAATAATCAAAGCTATAAATATATAGGATCTTACCTTTACTTTTTTCTTTTGTCTCTAAGACTGGTGTGCTAATGGAAATTTTCCTGTTTCTTCTACAGCATTAAAAAAAGTATATCATCTGATTACATTTCACTTTGTTTTAACCTTTGTACCCAGTGAACAGGTGATTTAAAAAAAAAAAAAACTACCTTAGCAAAATATTGACTAGAAGAATAATTTCTTAAAGTCATCTTTTCCTTTTTCAGTGTAGCAAGTAAGACTGTTTGCCTAACCTTTGTGTTTCTGTTTTTTTCTTTTTTCTCTCCTTTTTTTTGAGATGAAGTCTTGCTCTGTCACCCAGGCAGTGACACAATCTTGGCTCACTGCAACCTCCGCCTCCCGGGTTCAAGCAATTCTCCCTGCTTTAGCCTCCTGAGTAGTTTGGATTACAGGTGCCTACCACCACACCTGGCTAATTTTTGTATTTTTACTAGAGGTGGAGTTTTGCCATGTTGGCCAGGCTGATCTCGAACTCCTGACCTCAGATGATCCACCTGCCTCAGCCTCCCAAAGTGCTAGAATTACAGGTGTGAGCCACTGCACCCAGCCACCTTTGTGTTTCTAAATGACTCTTAGAGAAAATTTTATTAAAATATTAACAATTTTACTTGTTGATTTAGGGTTTACAATATTGAAAATGAATACTTCTGAAAGATATACTGTTGCTAAATTAATTTATGTTTGTCCTGAAGGTATTTTATGCTTAGAAAGATTCAAACTGAGGTAATCCCAGCACTTTGGGAGGCTAAGGTGAGAGAATAATTTGAACTCAGAATTATGAGAGCAGTCTGGCTGACTTAGCAGGACCTTGTCTCTGCTCAAAATAAAAAATAAGAACATTAGTTAGGCATGGTGTTGTGTACCTTTAGTCCCAGATACTTGGGAGGCTGAGGTTGGGGAATGGCTTGAGCTAGGAAGTTGGAGCCTGTAGTGAGGCATGATTGTACTGGGGGGGGGGGGGAGAGGGAAGGGGAGGGGGAGATGATGATTCAAATTGTAAAAGTACCACCAAGTTTTGTATTCTGTTCAGGAGGAGATTCAAATTGTAAAGGTACTACCAAGTTTTGTATTCTGTTCAGTTTCAACTCTGTTGTTTACTTATTTTCATGACACCATCATCGGTGGAGGGGGGAGAAGGGAGGGAAGGAGGGAGAACAAAGGAGGGAGGGAAGGATTTAAATTGTAAAGATACCACCAAGTTTTATATTCTATTGAGTTTCAACTTGTTGTTTACTTATTTTTATGACACCATCATCAGTGGTTTTATTGCCAAGTTGTAACAGGAGCAAAGTGCTCAGAGCATCAAAAAGACCTGACACCTGGACATTATATGGCTTTTAGGAAATCAGTTGATGTTTCTTATGCTGTAATTTCTCCTCTGTAAAATGGAATACTTTGCTACAACATTAGTTCTCATCTAACTACATTGTAGGAAGAAACATTGTTGGTAGTCAGTAATCAAGTTTAAAATGAATTAGCTCCAAAAGATTAATTCCACTGGGCTTCAGTATCCTTAATGTATGAAATAAAGAGAGTGAAATACATATTTTCCTCTTTCAAATTCTATGAGATCATATACCTATACAAATTGTAGCAGAAGCTCATATACCTATACAAATTGTAGCAGCAGGACACACGTTTGTTATACTGTTGAAATTGAAGCTCCAATTGAAGATATCACTTCTCCAACAAAAATAAATAAATTGAGGCAAAAATAAATTGAAATTCCAGGTTGTCTGTTTTATTATGTTCATCTTTTACTTGGTTATTTTGGAGATTTTTTTTTTTGTAGGGAAATTTCTGAATTTAGGTTGTTTATTCTAATAGTAAGATATGAATGTGTAGAAGGTGTGTAGGGGATATGTGGATCTACAGCCTTATCTGGTGATACTGAAAACTGTAGAGGTTGATATCTATGAGTGAAAGAGAGTAAATAGTGATAGGTGAATCAGATTTTGAATCACAAAATAGAAGTGAATGATCTTGGGACTAAAAATGTATGCTCAATCAAGCTTTTTATAAAATGTGAATCTTGAAAGTATTTAGATAAGTGGCATCTTACCTATTCTTTTTTCAGAATTTTTCTCCACCTTATCAGTAATTGACCTTCCTTAGGCAATAAGTGGCATGTCATTGGTATTTCTTTTGATTATATAATAAAAATGGTTATTGCTTCTAATTAATTTCACTATTACTGCTTTTATATGATTATGTGTATAATCTTTCAGTTATTTTTAGAGACATTAGCTTAATATTTTACAGTGCTAAAAAATAGCAATAGTTTGTGAAATAACAATGTTAACTAAAACAGTAAGTAAAAGAGAATTTAAGCAAAGCATATTACTAATCTAAAGCCATAATTTTTAAAAAATTGAATTGAACTGTAGGTTTCTCTACTCCCTTGTTCTGTGAGAGCTGCACTGCATGATTTACATAGCAAACTTCTATACAATATTTAATTTGGTCAAAAAATTTTGTGGCTGAAGGATGCTTGAAAACCACAATTCTAAAACTTCTTGTCTTTTAAAGGTACGATTTTAAAAATGTATAAATGCATCCTCATATATATAAGTCATTAAGGATTTTCTCTGACAATCTTTGTGATTTCTTAGTAAAGTAAAATGGAAAGTAAGGAAATAGAGGAATTTGGGGATAGAGAAGAAAAAGATGTAAAATAAGTTTGTGCTAATGGGGCCAAATTTTATATAGGTTAAATAGCATTTTTTAGTACAAATATAAAGACTTTTCAGTCACACACTATGGTTGAATATCTTTAAGTATCCTATTAAATTAGGACTGTGACTTGTGTAAAATAATTGGATATTTTTTCCTCAGTATTGTATCAGGAATATTATGTGCTTTTGATTTCAGGAAAGAGAAACAAATGAGAAGTGTAGAAGAAGAAATTGAACAGGAAAAACAAGCAGCAGATGACATTATCAAAAATATGTCTCTTGAAAACCAAGTCAAGTACCTAGAGATGAAAACCACAAATGAGAAACTATTACAGGTAATACTAATTACTATTGTGTGCCAAGCATGTATCAGTCTTGCTACTAAAAGTATAGTTTAAATGTCGGCAGCATCCCCTGAGCGCTTGACTAGACTTTGAGATCAGAGTTTTCATTTTTAACAGGGTCCCCAGCTGATTCATATGGACATTCATATTTGAGAAGCATTTATTTAGAAAACTTAATTTCATTTTGCTGCTTGATGACCTAGATTTTACTCTAATTATTTTTTGTTCACTTCTGTTTATCCATTTTGCATTTCATAAAGACGTGTGAAATACTTGCATTTATTAAAAATACTTGTCTATAAATACTTGCACTTATAAAAATACTTGTCTATAAATTTTAAAAGTCTACAACCTATGAGGCCTTTTAATGTTTGCATTAAAACATTAATGCATTATGTTTGCATGACCTATGAGGCCTTTTAATGTTTGCATTAAAAGGCCTCATAGGTCATAGGTGGACGTTGCAGTGAGCTAAGATTGCACCACTCCAGCCTGGGTGTTAGAGTGAGACTCTGTCTCAAAAAAAAAAAAAAAAAGCCCTCATAGACCAGATTCATATGGATATTTACTTTTTTTCCTTTTCCTTCCTGCTTAATAAACAGCTAAGCTTTTAATCTGTTAGCATTCTGATTTGAATGGCTATTGTCTTTTAATTATATTGCTTAAATATCCATTTTTAAAAATTAATTTTTTGTTGATACACAACAATTGTACATATATTTATGGGGTACATGTGATATTTGCATGCATGTATACAATGTGTAATGATCAAATCAGGATAATTAGGATATCCATCACCTCAAACATTTAGTATTTTTTTGTTCCAGAAACATTTTAAATCTCCTCTTCCAGCTATTGTGAAACATACAATAAACCATTGATAACTGTTGCCACCCTACTGTTCTATCAAACTTGAGAATTTTTTCCTTCTATCTCCCTCCACTGCCCCACGCTCCCAACTGGGAAACACCTTCTCAGCCTCTGGTAACCATCATTCTACTACCTCCATGAGATCCACTTTTTAAAGCTCCTACATAGGAGTGAGAACATGCAATATTAAATGAGCAGTGTAGGTCCCTGCTGAGGGGATGAGAATCCTCTCAATGCTCAGTCGTGATGGTGCTTTTTTATGCCCACATGGCCCTTAACTAAAGAGCGAAGAATTAGGCCCCATAAATGCCAATAATGATTATAGTTTTAGTTTCTCAGACATTCCTTTGCTGATAATTTAGTAACCTTTTTATTTTAGACTAGATTTATAAGATGCAGTGAAGCATTGAAGAAACAGTATGATAGAAATGCCAAAACACTACCAAAATGTAGTTAATCTTGTATGGGTTAATGAATGAGTAAACAGTTTAAGGATCTTATCCTACCAGTGAACTATGGCCGGGCACAGTGGCTCATGCCTATAATCCCAGTGCTTTGAGAAGCTGAGGCGGGCGGATCATGAGGTCAAGAGATCGAGACCATCCTGGCCAACATGGTGAAACCCCGTCTCTACTAAAAATACAAAAATTAGCCGGCTGTGGTGGCACATGCCTGTAGTCCCAGCTACTTGGGAGGCTGAAGCAGGAGAATTGCTTGAACCCAAGAGGCGGAGGTTGCAGTGAGCCGAGATTACACCACTATACTCCAGCCTGGTAACAGAGCAAGACTCTGTCTCACCAAAAAAAAAAAAAAAAAAAAAAAAAAAAAAAAAAAAAAAAAAAAAAAAAAAAAAAAAAAAAAAAAAAAAAAAAAAAGACTGAACCATGTTTATGTTTACATATATATGTATGGTATAGTATAGAGAAATTAAGCCAAAGATATGAAAACGTGGTTAAAAATAAAAATTTTAAATCATAACCTCAAACAATGATATAGTTTGAAAGCTTCTGATATTCGATGTTCTGAGAACATAGTGATGATTTACTGTGAAAAGGTTTAAGGTCTAGCTACTTTTGAGAAACTCATGAAGTTTTTTGTTTTTTTTGAAGGCTAGGTTTTAGGAATAATGAAAGAAGTTGGGGAAAGTAGAAATAATGAAGTGTTAATAAATTCTAGTCAAAATGCAAGATACCGTGAAGATACTTAGAAAGTTTACTTTGTCACATCTGTATTTGAAATGTTGAGAAATAGAGAAACAAATTATTATTTTTTCTCCACCCCCCTTCTCCCAACTACAACAAATTAGTCTTAATGTAATTTGTATTTATATTTGCTTTTTTTTTCTGCTTAGGAATTAGATACACTTCAACAACAACTGGATTCACAGAACATGAAAAAAGAGAGCCTGGAAGCTGTAAGTATAAAATCAAATAAGGGTTCTCATACTACTCAACCAAAAATGTTAATTCAGCCAAGTATATTAATATAACTCATTCAAGGACATATTTATCTGGCAGTTTACTAATAGGAGTTTAATACTTCTTCTTCCTATTCTGGACCATAGTGATCCTAGTATGGTAAGAAATTAGATTCAGTTATTCAGTACCTACTATGCATAAAACAAATCATTCTGTCCTATCTGGGACATGCAAAATCCAACGTCAATTAAAATTTTTTTTTCTTTTTTTTTTTTGAGACAGGGTCCTTCCCTGTCACTCAGGCTGGAGTTTAGTGACATGATCATAGCTCACTATAAATTCAAGGTCCTGGGCTCAAGGGATCCTCCCTCCACAGCTTCCCAAGTAGCTAGGACTTCAGGCAGGAACCACCACACCTGGCTATTTTTTATTTTACTTTTTGTAAAGATGGGGTCTTGCTATGGCTAGTCTACAGCTCCTGGCCTCAAGTGATGTTCCTGCCTTGGTTTCACAAAGTGCTGGGATTACAGGCATGAGCCATCATGCTCAACCTCTAACGGAAATTTAAATACACATAACAGGAGACTAAAAACAAAGGAAGAAGGAGAGACATGAACATGAGTTAATCTCTTTCAGGATGTAAAAACTTGCATTTGTCAGGAGATAGCTGTACTTTACCTTTGCTGCAGCTCATTCCTTTACAATAAAACTTTCTGTGACTTAAAAAAAAAAAATCTTGCATTTGTTTTCTTATTCATTTATTTAAAACAAGCTTTAGTTCACAAAACAAAATATGCTTATGGTTTAAAAATAGTTGAACAAGATGAAAGTAAAAATGTCTGTTTCGTGTCCTTTCCTGATAGAACTACTGGAAAGACATTATCAAGTGTTACTCTATGCTTTTTTGAGCTCTTAACGCATATCAGCATCATATTCATGTAATCTCCACAAAGTTCTAAATCCATCTTGGTTTTACAGTTTGGAAAACCTCAAGTGGGGTTCATACTTGCTATGCTATCTGTAGGTTTTTTTTCACCCTAACATGAAATCTTCAGTGTCTGTTTATATCAGTTCTTAGAGAACCCCCTCATTATTTTAAATTACTATATTATGTTGTATAATTATAATACAGCCTTGTAAATGAACAGATTGTTTATAGTTTTCTGGGATTATAAACAATACTTCAGTGAAAGCATACATTTTATGCAAAGTTGCATTAGTATATCAGAAGATTGAATTCTCATAATGGGTCAAAAGGTATACACTTTAAAAATGTTGTAAGATTGCCAAATTGCCTTCATTGTGAAAGCTTATTTCCCCTGCATTCACGGAGAGCAAATATTACCTGGCTTTTTGAATTTTAGCTAGTTTCATAGGTAAAAATTACTACCTTATTTTAATTTTCATGTGTTTATGCATGAAGTTGAGAATCTGTTTATGTCATTTTTGGCCAATGAATTTCTTTTTCCGTGAACAACTTTTTCATATTTTTGGCATTTTAGTATACTGTCTGTACCTCAGATCTTGCCTCCCTTTCCTGATTTCCTATGGATTCAGGTACATACCATGATGATAGTATTAGGAACTGTTGTAGATGGACAGATTGCTAACAACCTAGCTTGCAAAAGAAATGAATCTTTTGTAATTAATTCTTTTGAGAATTTGCTATTGAAAGTCATTTCATTAAAAATAGTAAGGTAGTTTTCTGTGTTTGGTTGTCCATCTATAAATTCGCTTCATTTTTATTTCCTTGGATCTCTGGTGATGGAAATATGCTTAAAGAAAAAAGGACCACATTTAGTATTAATACAACTAGCTTGCAGAATTCTTCACTATTCCTTTTTGGGGTAGGTGTGAGTCAAATCTTTTTTTTTTTTTCTTTTTTTTTAAAGAAAGAAAAAAAGAAAGAGAGAAAGAATGAAAAAGAGAAAAAAGAAAGAGAAAGGGGGAGAGAGAACAGGAGTCTTGCTCTATTGCCCAGGTTGGAATGCAATCTAAAAATAGGTATTGAAAACCTCTTTTATGCTCATAATTATGCTTAACAGCGGAGACAGGAAAGAATAAGGCAAGAAAATAACAAACAGCCAACCAATGTTTCATTTAAGTCTGTGAAATGCTATGCAAATGCTGAAGAGTGATTTACTTCCAATTATGTGGTCACTTTCAAAATAGGTGTAATATGACACTGAGACAATGTATGTTCTGTGGGCCTGGGGTGAAGAATTCTATAAATATTCACTGAGTTTACATGTTCCAGGTCTGAGTTCTAATCATAGATGTCCCTGTTAATTTTCTATCTCGTCAATCCGTCGAATATTAACAATGTGGTGTCAAAGTCTCCTGCTATTATTGTGCGGGAATCCAAGTCTCTTTATAAGTCATTAAGAACTTGTCTTATGTATCTGGGTGTTCCTATATTGGTTGCATATATATTTATGATCATTGACTCCTGTTGTAGCATTGATCCTTTTACCATTATGTAATGTCCTTCCTTGTTTCTTTTAGTCTTTGTTACTGTTAAAGATGGAAGTTACAACTCCTGTTTTCTTTTTTTTTTTTTTTTGCTCTCCATTTGATTGGCAAGTCTTTCACCAACTCTTTGTCTTGAGTCTTTGTGTGTTCTTGCTTATGAGATGGATCTGGATACAGCGAACCGATGGGCTTTGACTTTTTATTCAATTTGCCTGTGTCTTTGATTGGGGCATTTAATCCATTTAAATTTAGGATTAATATTGATATTTTTGACTTGAATATTGTCGTTTAATGCTAGCTGGCTATTTTGCCTACTAGTTTATATAGATTCTTCATTATGGAGATACTCTTTACCTTTTGGTAAGTTTTTGGGATGACTGATACTGGTTGTTCTTTTCTGTGTATAGGGCTTCTTTCAGAAGCTCTTGTAAAGCAGACCTGGTGGTGAAACCTCTAAATGCTTGCTTGCTCGTGAAAAATTTATTTTTCCTTCATTTATGAAGCTTAATTTGGCTGGATATGAGATTCTGGGTTGAAAATTCTTTTCTTTGAGGATATTGAATATTGACCCCCACTCTCTTCTAGTTTGTAGGGTTTCAGCTGAGAGATCTGCTGTGAGTCTGATAGGCTTCCCTTTGTGGGTAACCTGACCCTTCTCTCTAGCTGCCCTTAGTATTTTCTCCTTCATTTCAACCCTGATGAATCTAACGATTATGTGTCTTGGGGTTGCACTACTTGAGGAATATCTTTGTGGCGTTCTCTGTATTACCTGAAGTTGAGTATTTTCCTACTTTACTAGGTTAGGAAAGTTTTCCTGAATAATATCCTGAAGAATATTTTCCAGCTTGGATTCATTCTCTTCATGACATTCAGGTACACCTATCAAACGTAAATTAGGTCTTTTTACATAGTCCCATATTTCTTGGAGATTTTGCTTGTTCCTTTTTGAGTCAAGTCTTATTTCACTTGTGAATTTAGTTTCCATAGGAAGAAGCATAAGCTATAACCTTAGATTTACTTTTTGTACTGATGCCACTCTTCTCTGATGTCAGTAGATTTATGCCTAAAATAACAAAGAGTTTTAAAAATATACAGTATTTGGCCAGGCACAGTGGTTCACGCCTGTAATCTCAGCACTTTGGGAGGTGGAGGTGGGAGGATCATGAGGTCAGAAGATTGAGACCATCCTGGCTAACATGGTGAAACAAAAAATTATCAAAAAATTATGCAGATGTGATGGCACGCACCTGTGGTTCCAGCTACTCAGGAGGCTGAGACAGTAGAATCTCTTGAACCCAGGAGACAGAGGCTGCAGTGAGCTGAGATCACACCTCTGCTTTCCAGCCTGGGCAACAGAATGAGACTGTCTCAAAAAAAAAAAAAAAAAAAAACCAAAAGCAATATTTGCAAATTAAGATAACATAAGTCACTAATTCTATTTAACTTTTGCCAGATTTCTTTTTTTGAGGGGGGATGAAGTCTTGCTGCTTTGCCCAGGCTGGAGTGCAGTGGTACAATCTCGGCTCACTGCAACCTCTGCCTCCCGGGTTCAGGTAATTCTCCTTCCTCAGCCTCCTGAGTAGCTGTGATTACAGGTGTGTGTCACCACACTCGGCTAATTTTTGTATTTTTAGTAGAGACGGGATTTCACCATGTTGGCCAGGCTGGTCTCAAATTCCTGACCTCATGATTTGCGCGCCTCAGCCTCCCAAAGTGCTGGGAATACAGGCGTGAACCACCGTGCCTGGCTCAGATTAATTTTATTTATTTATTTATTTATTTATTTATTTATTTATGACTTGTTCTTCAAGAAAATGTTGTTTCAGATAGTGGTCAATCAACTATCAGGTACTTATTGAATACTTTATACTCACTGCTTTACTGTGTATTTGCTTATGCTTATTTAGTTCACAAGAGTGGGGAAAAAAATCAGGTGAAGGCATGAGCTTAAGTCTTCCAGAATAGTCTTATCAAGATGCAATTCAAACACATTTAGAGGATTGTTAGGCAGAAAGGAAAAGATACTATGAAAAAGAATAGCATAAAATTCTATATGTATTTTTTATCATGCCTTTCTTTATGTTATCTGATGCCTAATCTATTATTTGAACTGTATGTATAATCCATTGCTTATGGATTTTCAAAAATTCTTGTCTACTTGTTTCTTTTTTTTGAGATTCTTTTTCTTTCATACTTTTAAAAAAGAAGAGGTCTTCCCTCTTAAAAATTTGGTCTTGTTTGGCCAGGCACGGTGGCTCATGCCTGTAATCCCAACACTTTGGGATGCTGAGGCGGGCAGATCATCTAAGGTCAGGAGTTTGAGACCAGCCTGACCAATATGGTGAAACCCCGTCTCTACTAAAAGTACAAAAATTAGCCGGGTGTGGTGGTGGGTGCCTGTAATCCCAGCTACTCGGAAGGCTGAGGCAGGAGAATCGTTTGAAATCTGAAGGTGGAGGTTGCAGTGAGCTGACATGTTGCCACCGCACTGCAGCCTGGGAGACGAGAGCGAGACTCCATCTCAAGAAAAAAAACCAATTTGGTCTTGTTCATGCTGTAGGTCTGCTTTCAAAAGTCACTGTTAACTGTATATATTTGTTAACTCTGAAAAGTTATTTACATGTCAGATCCTCAGTTTCCTTATCTGTAAAATGGAGATGATAGTGCCATCCTGTAGAGTATCACTTTGGATATTAGAGATAGCATATAAATAACATGTAGCATAGTGTCTGACATAGAACAGATGCTCAGTAAACAAGAGTTTCAAATGTCAGTCATCACCACCACCATTCCTAGTTTTTTTGTTATCTAATAGTATTTTTGTCACATCCTTATTTTTTCTTTATGGAAGGTAGGATAGTGATGAGTACACAATAACTGTTATTACATGTGTTAATTTCCTAGTGCTGCTGTAACAGACTATCACAAACTGGGTGGCTTAAAACAAACAAACAAATTTTCTCACAGTTCCAGAGCCTGGTAGTCTGAAATCAAAGTGTCAGCAGAGCATGCTTCCTCTGAGACTCTAGAAAGAGTCTTGCTCTGCTTCTTCCTAGCTTCTAATGGTATCCATCAGCCCTTGATGTTGCTTGATTTGTAGATGCATCACTCCAGTCTTTGCCTGAGTCATAACATGGAATTCTCCCTTTGTGTCTCTGTTGTACCTGTACTCTTCTTATAAAGGGCACCATCATATTGGATTAGGGCCCACCCTAATACCTCATCTTAACGTGACTAAATATGCAAAGAGCCTATTTCCAAATAATGGTCAGATTGACAGGTTTATGATGGTAAGACTCCACCTTACCTTTTTGAGCAGACACAATTCAACCCACAACATTGTGGAAAAATATATGTTAAGACCTATTTAGAGGAAAATATGTTCTCTCCAAAGATCACTTCTATGGACTTTGAATCAGTCATTGTGTTTAAAGTTGTACATATGTTGTGACATTTTCTTTATTCTCCCATTGGTAGAGTTGTCCTATATTTATTCAGGTCTCATATGTAGAAAATAAACTAAGGCTATCGGCTTCTTGTGAACCTTAGACCGAAAATAGCTTATTAAAATATACAGGATTTATTTTTATATTTCCAGTTTAGGAATGTGCTTTGTAGCATTGTTGAGTACTAATGGCATTTGCTGTCTGTATTTAAAGATACTGGTAGTTTAAATTTACCCCCTATTCTTATAAATTGAAACCTATTTGAAGATAATTATTGATAAAATACTAATTAAAAAATTCCTTCTTATTTTGCTTTAGGAAATAGCTCACTCCCAGGTGAAACAGGAGGCTGTATTGCTACATGAAAAACTTTATGAGTTGGAGTCCCATCGAGATCAAATGATTGCAGAAGACAAAAGCATAGGGTCTCCAATGGAAGAGAGAGAGAAATTACTCAAGCAGGTGGGTGAAGAAAACATACTGATTTTAAGATGTCTGGTTTTGATACATGTGTTGATTTGTTTTATTTAAGGGAATTCAACCAAAAGCTACTAAGTTTATGTCTAAAAATGGTTTATGTGAAGAAGTGACTTTTTAAAAAATCTAGATTTTATTTTTTTTAATTTTTTTTATGCAGGGTCTCACTCTGTCACCCAGGTTGCAGCATAGTGGTACAGTTGTTGGGGTTCTGGGGTTCAGGGGAGCCCTCAGCTTCCCCGAGAGAATGTTTCTCCAGGTTCTTGGTCTTTCGCTCTCTCAAGAATGAGAAAGGAGACCACGGCGCAGTGTGCTTGTGCAAGAAATACCAGAGCCCAAAAGTGTTTCAGAAAAGTGATTTATTTAGGTAGAGAGAGAAAAAGGAGGAGGAGCGAGAAAGAAATAGCTAACTCTCACACTGACTGAGAGAAAGAAAAGCCGCTCTCACACTGAGTGAGAAGAGTTCTCAGAGGGAGAAAATCAGAGAAGGAAAACTCCCCTTACACTGAGTTAGAGAATCCAGAAAGATAGAATCCAGGAAAGGAAAGACAGCTTCCATACTGGGTAGAAGGGGACCCCAGAGGGGAAATCCAGGAGGGGAAAGAGAGCTCCCACAAAGTGGAAGCTGGAAATCTGGCGTGGGTGAAGGAGCAGGGGGATTTATCCTGGGAGAAATTCCCACCTCCCCAAGTTCCTCTGGCCAATGAAAGGAGTTCCTTTAAACTTCCACTGGAGCGATTGACTCAGTTTCTTCCTGTGCCTGTGAAATTTAAACATAAACCATTAAACCTCCCAGATGGAGAGAGATGGGAGGGGGGCATGGTGCTGGGAAGTTCTTGTCCTTAAAACTACACCTCCTTGTCGACCTGGAAAGATAACACATTCCTTCACAATCATAGCTCACTGTAGCCTTGAGCAGCTGGGCTCAAGCAATCCTCCACCTTAGCCTCCCGAGTAGCTGGGACTGCAGGCATATGCCACCACACCAATTTTTTATTTTTATTTTTTGTACAGATGGGGTTTTGTTATGTTGCCTAGGCTGGTCTCAAGCTCCTGGCCTCAAGCAGTCCTCCTACTTCAGCCTCTCCAAGTGTTGGTATTATATAGGCACCCAGCCTAGATTTTCTTAATCAAGTATTTCATACTAACTTAGGTAAAGCTAACTTTTCCTTATTAGAAATACTTGACACTCTTCTTTATTGGTCATTAAATATTAAGATAATTTTTTGGAGATATGTTTTATTATTTGTTTTGGGCCTTGTATTTAGAAAATGGTGTATCCCAAGGCTGATGTCTTTTTTTTTTTTTTTTTTTTTTTTTTTTTTTTTTTTTTTTTTTTTTTT